GAAACAAGAAGAGTCACATTGTGTTTCTGTAACTCATCTGTCTGTTACAGGCAGCTCACTGCAGGGCTGGAATGTAACTAAGCACATTTACTCGAGTTCTGCACTTAAGTACAAATTTGAGGTGCTTGAGTATTTTCTTTTCATGCCACTGCATTGGCACACATTCGAGCAGTAACTCAAACTCCATTCAAATGAACACAGGAGTCAGGATACAGCGCCCAAGCTCCTGATGCTTTACAGGCGTCACCCTCATGTATATATGAATATGAGTGAAACTGGAGAACATAAACAAAAAAAATATGGGGCAGTCTCAATGAGTAGATGTCAGCCCCATGTAGGCTAATTCCTTTGCAGCAGTCCAGGTTAGATTCCCACCTGTAGCTCTTTTCTGCGTGTCATCCCCAAAATTATAGCTGCTGCACAGCATTGGGTTGAGGCCGGGTACTTTGAGGAGCAAGAAGAAGAAGAGGTCTGGCCTGATATAGCTTAAAGAAACTGCAATATATTTCTAAAACACACAACAGTAAAACGACCAGGCCATGGGAACTGCAAAGAATCGATAAGTTATACATATGGAAAAGTGTTAAAAAAAAGGGAGAGAGAAGAAGACAGGGAGTTTAAGGAAGAAGAAGAGGAAGACAAATGTTCCATCAGTAGAACCTTCTGGACCAGTAATATTAAACCTGAAAATATGTCTCTGACCCACACAGCACAAGACATCAAGATACTATTCTGCATCACGAAGGACTTGAACTGACAACCTCTGACTCCAAAGGCTAACTGTGATCCAGTAGAGCTTCCTGTGCTGGGATACCAAACTGTGTGTAAAGCCTGATAGCTAAGCTACCGATAGAGAAGTGGTCAGAAAGGGAGGAGGAAGAATGAAAAGAAAAGAAGAAGAAGTCAAATCAATGAAGATCCTTCAGCAGAACTTTCCAGGCCAAAAACATCATTATACCTTGAAATAAATCACGTGTTTCTACCCCACACAGCACCACGTCTGAGGAGGCACCAGCATGTTTAATCTGCACCACCCAGGACTTGAACTCCAACCCGGTCTCACTCCAAAGTCGCCAATATCCGGCGCCTGGTCAGTGACTTTCAGCGTCAGACCCGACGAAATAAGCTGTCCTTTCCAACCTGATCTCAGCAGCCTGCGGTGTTATTGTTTCACAAAGTTTTGAACTTTAATCAGTCACTGTAGCGCCACCATCAGGACTACTGGCCCCCAATTTCCACTGAGGAACTTTAGCATGGGACTGGACCTGTGTGCCAAGTTTGCTTTATTTTCATGCTCGGGGAAGGAGAAGGAGAATATTGGCAAATACGAGAGAGAGGGACTGTCAGCAGAGCCGCCCGGCTCCTAAATATCATCAGCAAAATGCATAATGACATCATATGCTGCAGTATGAACGCCACATAGCTGCTCTGTATCTGTAGCATAATGCTTCACGTGTACAGTGCAGCAGCTACTTGATACACTGAAGCTAGAGCAGAAAAAAACAGAACCTGTTAACAAACTTAAAGTCTTCTCTAACGTCTCTAAAGTCTGACATCAAATGTTTATCGTCAAAAAGGACAATTAACATCAACATACATGTATCGACATATTGTGGATACCTCTAACAGGTTGTGTTATGATTCAGGGACAGTATTCATGGCGTGTGGTTGAACTAATAATTTGCTAATGTACAGAAATGAAGCTTTATGAAATAAACTTAAAAAAAAAATACTTTTCAGATCCTGTTCTATGTTCTGTGATAAACTAATACTTACAAACGCTGCTTTCAGAGGCAAAAACAGAGGATTGCAGCAGATGGTTATTGAGACCATTCAGCAGAAATGTAGCTGCACACTGAAACTAAAATGGCCGACTTCCTGTTCTGGGTCAGAGTGCATGTCAAACTAAAAAAACAAACCCTGACCCTGGAGGCCGAACAATCCGACAGCTTTACTTATTTTACAAATTCAGATTTTTACGCACAAAACACATGAAGACTTTATGATATAAACCAGAAAAATGTCGACATACGTTTTTGCAAACTATGAATAAGTTACATTTGCATGTTATCATGTTGCGTTACGTTGAAGTGTCAGCAGAGCTGTGATTTATGTGTGGTTAGATTTAGGCACAAAAACCTCTAAAGGGTTAAAGAAAAGAACATGTTTAGCTTATAAGATGCAGCTTTGGGAGCACGATCCCTGTCGGAAACACAGCAATGTCTCTGTGAAAAACTGTCATGTAACAGTTGGTGAAGGACCCAGATGCAGAGCAGCAGGCAGGTTGAAGGTTTAACCAAAAGGAGAGCTTTAATGCTGATAAAAAACATCCAGACAGGCAGATAATTAAAGGTCTAAGAGAAAAGAAGAACCAAAACTAAACTGAAAAAACAACCAGGATAACACGAGGAACACAGGGATGAACTCTGGGGAGAATTCCAAAACGAAACACACAAGACCAGCAGCAGGAAACAGAGTAGGAAATGACACGATGAACACAGATGAAGAAACACACAGGTATATACACAGAAGACTAATCACAAAAACGACACACAGCTGGAGGAGGACAATGAGGATTGTCCTCAACGAGGGTGTGGAGGGGAAACTAGGGTGGAGCAACAACAGGTGTGAAGGGAAGACTCTGGGAACAGGGAAGGACTAACGAGACAGGTGTGACAGAAAACAGGCAGGAAAACACATAAAGACAGGAAGTAAAACCAGACATGACACAAGAGGAGAGAATCTACAAAATGAAACAGGAAACAGATTAAACATGAATGACACCCACATTTGGTGCTTAATAAGCTGCTGGAAACACAGCGATGAGTCACTAAGTCACAGCCTGTTGTGTTGCTTGTTGGTCTGAGATGCCTCGCCGGGGTGACACGCCGTCCACCACCTCCTCCGCCTGCTGATGACAAAGTCAGCTCATAAGAAAGGTTGATATGATACGTATGAAACATACAAACGTATCTGTGGCTGAAGAAACACACAACGCCAATATTTTGTCGCAGTGACTGGGCTGATCTTTGAAGTTTTTTTCTGGTACTAAACAGGAAGTACATGAGTGTGTCATGTTGAGAAAATGCCAGACTTCAGTCCTGCTCAGCAGCATACAGAGGATGTTGGTGTGTGGTATTGATGACAGTCTGCAGGTCTGTTGGCAGCTTCAGTTTCTTCAGTCAAACAGTTTGTTTTTATGTGTTAAACGAGCTGTTTCCTCCTGAGTCCTGTCGCTGTCGCTCTGTTGCTGTTGCTGTTGCTGAAGCAGAGACAGCAGAAAGCTGCTCGTCGCCGTCGCCTCTCCCTTCAGACTCGTTAAAAAGTGAAGTTCACACTGAGGTAGACTCTGAGAGCCTGTGAGCTGCAGGCTTCTCTGCACAGCACACAATGAGCTGCTGAGTCTGAGCTGCTCTGCTGATCATCAGGTGAAACATTAAGGATCCTCCGGAGGAAATAATGATACACCTGCTGAAGGCTGGGAGTCACACAGAGGCACAGAGAGAGGAGATAAACACACAGGACGGAGACTGCAGGGATCACTCAGCATGTTTGTACCTCATCAGCTCTCAGTTTAAAGTCTGAACCTGAAGATACAGAAACATCTGCTGCTGCGTCTCTGTGGTTTTCAAATCATGTCCGAACTCTGATTTATACTTCATTCATGTCTGGACACTTGCCTCTGTCATTTTTTATTTCTCATTCCTTAAATTTTGGCAAAGTTCAACATTCAGCTCACAAATTAAAAATGTGTGATTAAACGAAAACACACTCCCCAACCATCTTCCTCCAAAGCCTTTGATACATGACTGTAGAGACATGTTTCCCTTGGCTAGCTCATCACCACTCCACACTGCGTATCTGGACGGCGTCATTGTGAAATTAAGCCCAGCGTCCACTGTCTGTTTCCACTGTCTTATTTCTGCAGAAAGACTTGGTCATTAACATCTGAACACATTTCCCTGATCAGTATTCACAGACATGGCAGGAACTTAAGGTGTAATATCTTCCTTTATGTAAACTTGGTCTCAACACTTTGATGAAACTTTAAACAAAGCTCGAGTCACTCTGCAGGTTCAGGACTTGGGTTTAAATTTAGATTTTCAAAAACACAGTCAATGTACAAAGTTCACCTGGAATGATTCAGAAAAACCTTCATGCATTAATAATGATGTGTTCAAAACTCCTGTTGTCGGGTCAGTTATGGATCTCAGTATATGACATATATATATAAACTAAAAGGCTCACAGGCAGCAGATAAAACCCGCCGCAGGATTCCTGCTTTCAGCTGCCAGACTTCTTCTTGTGCTTCCTCTCTGAGCCAACACACTCCAACAGACGTCTTCACACAAACACAGAAAGTCTAACAACTGAGTGAATATCGAGGAAGACGTCCAGCAGGGTCAGCGGGAGGATTAGCAGGACGTCAGGTGTCCATGTTGGACGTCTTTTCAGCCAATTCAGACAAACTTTAGCGATCCAATTAAAAGCACTTTAATGAAATGTTGTGGAGGAGCTCCAGCCTGAACGCCATCTGTCTGTTAACAGCAGTGACGGAGGAAGTATTCAGTCCTGTTACTGCAGTAAAAGTACGAATACCACACTTTGAAAATACAACACTACAGTAAAAATCCTGCGTTCAAAACCTCAGTAAAGCTTTATATGTTGCAGTAAACTGTTGGATTTTCTCCAGCGTCCTCCCACAGCCCAAAGACATGCAGGCTGGATTAATTGGTGGCTCTAAATTGCCTGTAGGAGACGTGCAGTATTTCACAACTGTGCAATGATTTATCAGTTACTCTGCTTTATACTTATTTATTGTGTCTGCTTGTCTGTTACTTTCTGTATGTTTCCACTGGAGACGCTTAATCTTGTTGTGCTGATGTGTGACGACAGTAAAGGCATCGATTCATTGACTGAATGTGAGTGAATGGTTGTCTGTCAGTGTAAACTCAAATCTGAATCCTTCATCGTGTTGTTTCGTCCTGTGTCTCCTGCAGGTGGACCGGACGGAGGTGATTCGCAGCTGTGTGAACCCCACCTACTCCAAGGTCTTCACATTGGACTTTTATTTTGAAGAGGTGCAGCGTCTGCGTCTCGAGCTCTACGACATCAACAGCAGCCACAACGGCCTGAAGGAGGCCGACTTCCTGGGCTCAGTGGAGTGCACGCTGGGACAGGTGAGTCACCTGGACACAGGTTCCTTTTTGCTGAGGATGGCAAAGGCATGACCGGCTCCTGTCTGCCTTACTCTGCCTCTGATTGGCTCACCCTCACATCCTTACCCTAATCCTAACCAATCTCACTGCTCATGCCTAAATCTAACCAAGCCAACCAACCAAGGCAACAAGTGCGAGCCAATCAGAGGCAGAGTCTTGACTTTGCAATCCGAGGAAACTATATACGGCCAACCAGACACACCTTTACTAACCTCGGCACCTGTTGAAGGCCGACACGTTCTCGTGTCAAATACGGCAGCTTGGTCAGCGGCCCCATGCTTCAAACTATGACGCTTAAAGTGTCTCTGGCATCAGTTTTGGACGCTCAGGTACAGCGGGTTAACTATATAAATTATGAAAAAAAAAAAATAACAGGACATGAACAGCGGTGTCCTGGGGGAAAGTCCTGTGTTTGTTTGACCCATCCACTGCCCCTCTTTTCTGCCCTACGCCGACTATCTTGCTCTTTACATCAGTTAGCTGAAAGCCTGGTGCGTCTCATACAGACTCTAAAGTGTGCTGTGTGCACATAGACGGATTGAGACAATGGGGCACAGATATGCAAAGGGCCCCACCACCTCTTCTACATGGGCAAAAGACACACAGACTTTGCTGTGGTTGTTGTGTGTCTCTGTGGTCATTTTGTAGCTCCTGGTGGTTGCTGTTGTGCATCTCTTTGTGATTACTGATGATGATCAAGGACTGAAAAGTTTGCTGCTGTTTTTACTCACTCTTTATTATTTTTTGCACTTTTAGCACCGATGTCTTAAATAAATAGACTTTTTTTTGTCCTTTTGTTTGTCCATAGTTTCGACGCACCCGAGACAAACTTTTTTGTTGCCCAAAGAAGACACAGTTTCATAGCAGCTGTAAGAGTTTGCAGTTTGTCTCTTTGCGGCCATTTTGTGGCACTTTTAAGTTATTCTTTGTATCCTTGTGTTTGTTTTGTGCCTCGTCCTGGTTAGTATGTGCCACTTTGAGTGACATTTTGCAGCCCAGGGGCCCCTGACACTTTGGGTCTTTGGGCCTGTGCCCTGTAGGCCCATTCAGTCAGCCTGTTCTCATTCTAAAATCGTCAAAAACTGCCGCTTTGTTAGTGATTTTAATGGTGTTGTTGCATAAACATTTGAGGACCTTTTAATCGCAAGAGAAAGCTAAAGAATCGGAACATCGTGGCAATTTATAGTGTTGACAAACAGACAGTATCAGTTCACAAATAGGTGACGCTCCTACAGGTTTTCCCACATACACACACATCAGGTGCTTCCCGTCACTTAAGCTGCTGTTTCCTGTTATTTAGGCAACCAGTTCTTTTTGGTCCAACAAACCTCAGACTTTTATGTGTTCACTTCCTGTATAAATGTAGAGCCAAACTGTGATGTTGTTTTCTGAACCTAGCCACGTGCTTGTTGATGTCCCGGCATTGGTTGTGGTGTCCTGGAATCTCAACAGCAGACCCAGGAGGATACCTAGCGTGAAAAAATGCAGAAAGGCGACAGACTAAGGGGTGATATGTGATGACATGGGATGAGAATGCGTTGGTTCAGTGATCCATTGTGCTTGTGTGTCAGAATTTGACGCAGACAGCCACTGACTGAGCAGCTGGGAGTGAAAACGGGCTGTAAAGGCTCCATCATGCATCTTAACATGCAGCTGTCACTCAGAGATGTTTGTGTGGCTGTTTTCTTTGAAACTATCTTTAAGTATAATGTTGATGTTGCTCGTGACAGGAGTTGAATCAACCAATCAGCTCGCTTAATACTCAGGTTTACATGACAAGCTGAGATTCAGGAGGATCCATGAATGTGTAAATGATGGCAGAGAAGGCGTCCCATTCAGTCGTCTAAAAGTTGCTGATAAAGCCTCAGCAGGCTTCTTCTTCACGCTTCTCTTGAGCTGCTTGGCTGACTTTCTGTTGGCTCCCTCACACATGAAGGGGATGAAATCATTAAACCATACAGCTCTGTCAGACTTTCCACATGTAATTGGGCTGAGTGGATCAAATTCTGAAATCAAAGGGTCGTTTCAGAGTGTATGTTTGAAATGTTTACACCGTTCTTTGGGGGAACATGATTCAAATCCTCAAGTGGTTTGTTTTCAGCCTCTGTGTCACAACAAAAGTTTGGACGTCCTCTGAACATTGAAGCTGTGCTGATCACTTTATAAAACATCCATCGGGTTGTAGATTGACGTCCTTCCAGGAAGCTACTGGTTCCACTTCAGTCTAATGGTCAACTGACCATCTAAAGCAAAAGGATCCCCTCACCCTGTCAACAGACACTAACATGAACATTCAGTTTCGTCAAATCAACACTTTCTAAACAATAACAGCGGCATAACAAAGTGATGGCAATCATTTATCGTCGCTGTTATATGGCGGCTGATCTCGCCCTCTGGCGGTAAGGAACACCCACACCTCACTGTCTCCCCACTTTACTGACATTTTCAGCTGTTTTTCTTCTTTGAGTTAGCTGCTAACTGCTGATAGCTGCTTTGTAAATCTCCCAGTGGTGGTTGGCAAACATAACCCGTCATTAAAACCTGACACTTGTCCCGTCCTGCCACCTCGAAGGCGTGACAATGCTGTCTCCTGACTCTGTGATTGTACCTTTAATGCTGAACAGCAGCATAATGGTGCAACATTTCTGCCTCGAACAGGCGGTGTTTCTGGTGGAACAAATATGTGACAAAGCAATTCAGAGGAAAGTTTGCTGAGCCAGGAATGGAACCAAAAAGATTTTTGACCTTATAACAAAGTGTAAAGCTTAACAGCGTGAAAGAACAAGATGACAGGGTGGTTATTTCCAAATGCTCTCTCTCATGGGATTTTGGATGCAAATTGAAAACTTGAATGGAAACAAAAAGTGTTATTAAACAGTCAAATCCAGATGATCGGACCGCTGCCCTTCTTTGTGAGTTATTAAAAGCAGAACCAGATTTTTAAGAGCCAAAAAGTTTCACCAGACCGTCTTGCTGAGGGGTCACACAAATATGAGTTATATACCAAACATACAAAATATGTCTTGTCTTCTATAAAGATTTTATTTAACACTTAACTTAAAAATGTGTAGACGTAAGCAAAGTATAATAGAACTTCTCCGATATTAATTAATCCGATATTATAAAACAAATATGTCAGAGAGTGAATCAACTGCAGTAAACAAGTTCAAAAATAAATGAGTGTCACAAAACCGAAGAGTGAGACTGAGATCTGTCAGAGGAAGTGTGTGTGTGTGTGTGTGTGTGTGTTGCAGGTAAACATCAGCTGTCAGTCACCTGAGCTGACAGTGTAAATGGTTGGTGGTCATGAAGCTTCTGTTAATTGACCAAAACTTCACAAAATCGCTTTAAACCAGAAAGAAACTTTTATTTCCGTCTCTTCGAGCTTTTTGTTGGAAACACTGGTGTGTTTTTTCGTCAGACGGCAGCTGAGTGTTTTGAAGAAGATAAAAACAGCATCAGAGGCTCCGTTACAGCTTGAACGCAGCACAACACACAGATTCTAATCTGAAAATATTCTCCTGACAATACCAACACAATCAGCTTTCTCTGCTTATGTAGATTATCGCCTTTGTTCTCTGGGAGAACATCAGTGAGGCTGTCAGCACGCCGGCTGCTACTCACAACATTCACAACAGAGACGAAAAAAACAAAGTGACAGAATAAAACTCTGAACATTTATTCTTCCTCTTCCTGCAGCACTCAGAGTGTTTCCACGTCTTCTGGAGTTTCTTGATTTTTTTCCTACAGAGTTTGGTGGAAATACAAATAATAGACTCTCAAATGAAAAAAAAAATCACTTAACAATATAGAAAAGTGCACGTATTGAGAAGAGGAAATGTCAGCGCTCATTTGGACTAATTAGTAAACTAATTAAGTATTCATATTGTATTTCTGCACCGTGCAGGTCAAGGACGCAGTGTTGTTGTAGAGAAAAGCAGAATAACAACTACCTCAGAGACCGTCTGCTGTTTCATTATTATCATCAGTTCCCATGTGAAGCACACTCAAACCAACAATGTGTGAGGTCACCATCAGGCGGCTTGGCAGCAGCTTTTCATCACATCCTCACTGTGACCTCGTCACATGTCCACATTTGGTCATGGACTTTCCACGTCCACATTGACGTCCAAGGAAATGTACAGTTTGGGTTTAGGCAACAAAAGCACGTGGCTGAGTTTAGGAACAGAGAACAGGGTTTGGTTTTACAATCTTACAGAAAGTGAACTCCCGAGTGAAAGTCAGTGGTTCTTAACTGCCTTGACTTTCATTGTTGTCTTGCTGTTTCCTCCTGACACTGCGTTGAGTGCTGGTTTTTCGATGACTTTGGAGTGAGATCAGGTTGCTGCCACAAACCCCAGCAGTGTGATGAGGTGCTGAGTGTCTGTTCTGCACGTTTGGTGTTTTTTTTTTTTTGTGGTCACCAAGAGTTGGAACAAGTTCAAGTTTGGTTAAAACTCTGCTCTTTGCACAGTCACTTCCTACCCAGCAGTCCAATGACAGCAGAGGAGGGGCGGGACAAATAGCCCACCATGTACAAGTGCTGAACAACAACAACAACAACAACAACAACAACAACAACAACAACATATCCTTATACAACGGTTCATATGATATCCTATGAGTTAGCGCTCCAGTAGTCTCTATATACAGACTCTACATTCAGTGAATGTAGAGATCTTGCCTCTGGAAGAAGAGCGGAAGAGCCCTGGTTTCCGGTTGTAGGCTGTTTGTAGTCCGCGTGATATTGACCAATCACGTTTGAGCAGGCTGCAGTTGTTGCCAGGTTAAACGCTCTGTGCGGTGAACTAACGAGGCGGAACATAATTGGTGTCACTGCAAACTCTGAATCCATCGCAATGGTTCAGCATATTTACTTATATATGAACGGAAGTCTGAAACAGAAATTCTCCTCCTCCGCCCAAATCAAACCGGAATGCCAAAAAATCGGGGGTCTGCCCCCAGAGGCTGTATCGCCGTCTGCCGGAAGTCAGACGCCGAATACAGCCGATGGGTTCCGAGAATGGCGCTCCAGGAATGATGTCACGTACTTAACGTAGATTTACATAGTTAACATAAAGTTACAGAGTAAAGAAAGTTACTGTGGTTAGGGTTAGGAGAAAAACTCCGAGGTTGTCAAAATCTGGTGCTTGCTCAGTGACACTGTCACCACTGTCACCTTTCATGTGGACATGATGCATTGCTGGGCGGCATGGCAGTGTCAGGGAGAAAGGCGGGCGGGACAACAACAACAGTTAAGACGCGGAAGTCCGAGTAGGGCGGCTGGGTCCAACAACCACTGATTTTCACCTGGGAGGTCACTGTAAAGCCAGCCCCTGTTCGTTTTTCCTAAACCCAACCATGTGTGTGTGTTGAAGGAAAAGAAGTGTCTATTTGTGGTGTTGTACCGACGTAGTGCTTTGATTTTGAAAGAGATTGCGACGAAGCCGCCCCGCACATCGCTAACCTCCAGGAGGAGGGGGATGATGTGACGGAGCGGCTCTTTCACTGACTGTGGGCAGCGCACACACACACACACACACACACACACACACACACACACACACACACACACTCTCATTCATTTCAACCTCACTGTTATCCCTCTTCCCTCTGTTTCTTAAGCGCGACCGAGGGTGCACACTTGGTAGTTCTGCATACATTCACACAACCCTTGCAGGACTTACCTTATGGAGTACGTTACATATTCATCCAGCTGTTGCCCGCCGTCTGAGTTTGGTTGGTGAAACATTTTGCTCTCTTAAAGATCATGTGACCTGCATTATTACATTTCTTGTTTGTTCAGTTTATGTCGTAAATAACTTGCGATGGTTAAAGTATATGCACACTGTACATTTCCTGTGAAAACAGAAGTGTATTTTGAAAACAGACAATGCATGTAACAGGCTGAAGTTGACACGGCGTCCCAGAACGTCAACAACCAACACACCCAGGGTACCTTGGACGTCATATGTGGACGTGGAAAGTCCATGACCAAACATGGACATGTGACGAGGTCACAGTGAGGATGTGTTGGAAGGATACACAAGTGTTTCTCAGGAAGCGCGCCTTGAACCTAGTTTTCATTGTGACCAAACAATAGAATTACAACGACCAGGTCAGTCACATGATTCAATAGGGCCAAAAAAAGACGTTGTCCAAGAGACTTTGTGAAAGAGACGTCTGTAAATCAGAGGATAAAAACTCATTTCACTACAAGGAGTTGATCCCATGATCAACTGAATCGTCTACTAATCAGAAGATCAGCGGAAGTTCAATCCCCGGCTCCTCCAGTCCACAAGTCGTGCCCTTCCCAGGTATCCTTGGGCAAGATACTGAACCCCAAACTGCTCCTGATGGCTGTTTCATTGATTTCAGTTCAGGATCCAGTTCTCTGATAAGGACGTACCTTAAAATGACTCGGAGTTCACATCATTCAAACGCCGGTCTCTTTGGGAAAAGTCCTGTTTTTTCGAACCTATACACCACTCCGTCCCGCCTCTTTGTGGGACGGCTTCCCTCTTTACTGCTGTCAATGCATCCGTCACGTGATTGCAGCCTTCCAAAATACATGGGTTGGTCATGAATTACTGGCTCGAGATTACGAAGGATATGTACGAATTTTGGTGCCTTACCTTTTGTAGGAAAACAGTTTATTAGAACAGCCACATATTAATCTCATGAGCCCACACAGACGAGTACTTTGTGCTCGGGGCAGATTGTCAGGGATTAAAAATAAAATGTAATTTAAACTGATTAAACTGTTTTTAATAAAGGAGTGTATGTGTAACTACATGGGATTTATAGTTTTATTATAGTTTAATCAAACTGGGTATCAAGAGTTATGGGATTACACTTGTATTGATTATTAAATTTATAATATGGTGACGTTGTTACTGGTATGAGGACTTCCCCAGTAATGTTTATGAGCTGATGTTTGTGAGAAAATGTTGGATTGTGGCATCGACTTCAAACACATAATTAATCAATGACATCATCTCATGTCAGACTTCCTGTACGCCAGACAGAATAACAGGATTTAAAACAAAATAAAAACAAGAAACAGCCTTCACAGATAAACAAATGTTCACTGTGTGTTTGGTCTTGTGTTTGGAGGGTTAACAGCCTGATGGACAGAGACGAGGAAACAGACCTCTTCTCCATCTGCTGTTGGTCTCATTATAAACTGGAGTTAATGCTTCTTATCAGGGAGCTTCTGTGAAAAGGTGGAGCGACGCTGTGGCTCGTTTTCAGCTTCCTGTGCTGGAAGAGTTTTAACATGCAGAGCAGAAGAAGAGCAGCAGCAGCCTGTGATGAAACAATCCGCTCAGATGACGGTTGGAGAGTCGGGAGAAACCTCCTCCTCCTCGGCTTCATCTCCTCGTCTTTGTCTCTGCCAGCAACGTCGCTCGGCTCGGCTGCCAGCTCCTCCACCTTCCAGATGGCTGACGGAGTGACGGAGGTTTCTGCTAACAGGCCTGGAAGAAACACTCAGGAACACTCAGACAGTTCGGGCTCACAGGAGGAGGAAGAGGAAGAGGAGCAGTGTTTAGTGCTACTTTTCAAGGCTGCTGACTCTGCAGTTTGTTTCACTCAGGACGACTGGATTTCAACAAAAAGAGAAGTCAGTGTGAAGAGTTTGACCTGAATCAAAGAAAAACTGATTCCTATTTGTCATTCTGTTGTTTTCCAACAAAATAAACAACATCTGTCCTCAAATAAAACATGACTCAAGACTGTTAGTATGATTTATAGAAACAGCTGGTGGAGTTTCTTTTACATGCAAATTAAAAATATTCATTTCAGTCAGGGACACTTTAGTCAAAGGAAACTTTATTTCCATTTGCAGTATTATATTTGGTGGCTCTGTTCTGGGGCCTCTCTGCCCTTCCATGCGCCTACATGGAAAGTCTTCAGCCCCGATCACACAGGAAGTGTTTTGCAGGTTGCAAAACACAAGGCGCACTGCACTGCCTTTTTTTTTAATTGAATGCCACGAGTAAAAAAAACCCCACTTGCTTCAGGCAACCAACCCGTCACGTCCTTACACGAACCTTCCCATGTAATCAATCCACCATTTATGTGTCCTGCAGTAATCAGTGTGTAGCTGCTGCCATGTTGAGGCAGAGGGTGCTGTCTGTAGCTCTGGTTGAGGGTGAGAGGCTGTCAGCAGATAAACAGAGATCTGTGTGGGTACATGAGACCCTAAAAAAGAGGCTGGATCATGGGGAGTACCACCAGTTGGTCCAGGAGCTTCTCCTCCATCATGGACGTTTACAGTACTGCACTTATCTGCTGTTTTCTATTCAGATGGTGCTAACTGTGCTTTGTAAAGACGTATAGCTCTGGGTATCCAGCAACCACTACCACCAGTTTCTAACTGTAAACTTGTTGTCGTGACCATGACAAAAAAGAGGTGACGTGGGGCGCTTATCCACTCTGAGTTGAAGTTTTTTCAGTTCAGAGCTCTACGACAAAAATTACAGCCACAGAAAGTGCAGAAATGTGAGCTGCATCACAGCGCAACAGCTGCAAGCAAAAAGCTTCATTCTCATTAAAAACTGTCATCTAAAGCTCCCTCCAGCTGCTGAAACACTTTCTGTGTGATCGGGGCCTTAAGGTGGAGAGAGCACTCCTCTCTGCCCTTCCATGCGCCTACATGTAAAGCCTAAGGCAGGGAGAGCAGCAGCAAAGACCCTCCAGGAACAGAAAAGAGCAGCATCAATGACAAACAGAAATGACATTGATAAGTCAGACACAGCATGAAAAGGAGGAGCTGGGGTGGAGGCAGGTTGCAGAGCAGCTTGCAGAGGAGGCAGCAGCAGTAGGCAGGACAGAGCAGTTTAAACAGGGCGCCCTGAATGAGATCGGCCATATTGTTGAGCAGCACCCAGCGGCAACAAGGGGGAAGCGTGGCCATGAAGCTCTGTACCTGGACACGACACAATATCCTGGTTTCTATCAGAGTCACAGGAAAACTCTTAAACCTGATTATAACGGGACACGTGTGTTTGTAGAGACGACCACCTGTAACTTCCTGCTGCTGCCGTAACTTGGCGTGGAGCGTTGATGACTGATGTGTGATGACATCATTAAATCAGACGCTGTGATTTGATTCTGATGATGTGATTTGACACGTGTGTGTGTGTGTGTGTGTGTGTGTGTGTGTGCAGATCATCTCTCAGAGGAAACTGTCCAAAGCTCTGCTCAGACCAGGAGGCACCGTGGGGAAGGCCATCGTCACGGTGAGCGTCTCTCTCTGACTCCACCCTCACACGTGTCACAGTGATCATGTGACCTCACAGCAAAACAATAAACAAACACAGCTGACGAGCTGCGATAGCTTCCTCCGTCCAATCAGAGGTCAGCTCTGAAAAGACGGTTTGTTAAGGTCAAAGGTCGAAGTCCATCAACCAACAAAAGTCTTTCTTTCTTTCTTCTTTTGTCATTTCTGTCCTTTCTTTCATTCCTTTTTTTTAACTTTTCTTAATCCTTCCTTCATTGTTTCTTTCATTCTTTCCCTCCTTATTGCTTATTTGTTTCCTTTCCTCCCTCCTTCTTTCTTTCTTTCTTTCTTTCTTTCTTTCTTTCTGCCTTTGCCCTTTCTGTCAATCATTTCTTTCTTTTCTCAATCCTTCCTTCCTTCCTTCCTTCCTTCCTTGCTTCCTTCCTTCCTTAAGGAAGAGGATGTTCCTTCGTCTTTAACCCAGGTGTCAGTGTTGATGGGTGGGAAGCCAGTGAGGGATCAGGTTCTTGTTGCGGTGACATCATCACACAGTCAGAGTCTGTGTTGTTTCCTCTTCCTCTCCGTCCACATCAAGTTTGTTTGTCTTCAGTCTGAAACGTTTTAAACCTCCGTCAGACAGGAAGTGGGATTTTGGGTGGCTGGGAGGTTTTTCCAATCAGCTGAGAGGAGTCGGATCCTCTGAGCCGCACCGACGGGATTTCAGATTTATTTCTGTCACAGATTTTCTTTTTCATTCATCCACAAATTCACAGCTGGAAAATCCGCCTCTGATGTTTTTCTTCACCTCTGTGAACACATGAAACGCTTCAGGGGGTTTTATTGTGAAAGGGTCTCTGCGCAGGAAACAGCAAATCACAGATCAAAGCTTTTATTTCTTTTTTTTATCCTTTTCTTTCTCTGAACTTTGTTTTTCTTTTAATTCATTTGACTTTCTTTATCCCACATTTCTTTTTCCCGTCTTTCCTTCTCTGGTGCTTTCCATTTTTAGTTTCTTGACATTCACTCTCTCTCTTTCCTTCCTTTCATCCTTCCTCATTCCTACTTTTTCATTCTTCCCTTCCTTCCTTGCTTTCATATTTAACCCCCTCCCTCTTTTCCTCTTTCCTTCCTTCCTACCTTTTTTCTTTTGTCCATCCATCCTGCATTTCCTTCCTTTCTATTATTCTTACATCCTTCCTTCCTTTTTTCTCCCTCCTCTCCCTCCTCTGCTCTTCTTCCTCTTTTCTTTCTCCACAGTTAATCCTTCCTTTCTTTCCTCTTTCTTCTCTTCCTTACCTTCATCTTTGCTTGCATCATTGGATGTGTCTCTCTTTTTCTCCTCTTCATTCCTCCTCTCTTTTTTCTGCCTTCCTTGCTCCCTTCTTTTCTTCCCTTACTCTTTCTTCATTTCTTTCCTCCCCCTTTCCTTTCTTTCTACCATTCTCCACTCCCTTCTCTTTCTTGGTCCTTCCTTCCTCCTTTCTTTCATTCTTCCCCTCCATCGCTCCTTTCTAGTTTCCTCCCTCTTTCTTTTCATCCTCCCTTTCAATTAATCCTTCCATCCTTTCCTAGTTCTTCCCATCCTCACTTTTAATCATCTTTCTTTACTCCTTGTGTCCTTACAGGTATCCCTTGTTCTTTCTTTCTTTCTTTCTTTCTTTCTTTCTTTCTTTCTTTCTTTCTTTCTTTCTTTCCTATTCCTCTCTCATCCATCCTTCCTTTCCATTCCTTCCCTCCTTCCCTTTCTTCCTTCATTGTTCCTGTCCTTGTCCTTCGGCCTTCCTTCCTTATTGCTCTCCTTCTTTTTATTCTTTCTAGTTTTCTGTTCATCTTTTTATTCATCCTTCCTTTCTTTTCTTCATCTTCTTTCTTTCCACTCTTCCTTCATCATCCCCTGCTCCTCACTTGTTTCATCTCTGTATTCTGAACTCTTAACTCTGTCTCTGTCCTTCATCCTTTCTTTCACCCTCTCAGATTTCTCCTCTTTTATTCATATCTTTCCATCTCTCACTGAAGGATGTTGTGTCCTGGGTCACTTCCTTCCTTCCTTCCTTCCTTCCTTCCTTCCTTCCTTCCTTCCTTCACTCTTTCTCTTCCCTTCATTGTTTTGGTCTTGATACAGAAACTGAACTTCAGTCAGTTTCAGAGGTTTGGTTCAGCTGCAGGTTGTTGTTGTTGTTTTTGTTGTTGTTTACAGATAGAAAAAGGTGACAGATTTTTGATCAGACAGAGGAAGAAGTGTTTTTCTTTCTGTCTTTTCTTTCATCGTTCTATTTTCCTTCTTTCCTTTCCTTGATTTCTTTCATCTCATTTTGTCTTTCTTCCTTTTTGGTTCATCATCTCCTTCCTCCCCTTCCTCTCCTCCTCTTCCTTCCTTCCATCCCACCCATGTTTTCATACTTACTTTTCTTTCTCCTTTTTCCCTCTTTCCTTGTTTCCTTCTTATATCCTTCATTTCCTTCGTCCCGTCTTATTTTTTCTCGTTCTCATGTTTTTCTTTCTTTCTTTCAAAGTTCCTCTGCTTTGTTCCTCTTCTCCTTCTTTCTCCTTCCTTTACTTTCTTTCTAACTCTTTTATTTCCTTCCTCCCTTTTCTTTGTCCTTCTTCTTTCCTGTCCTTTTCTCCTTTGTTGCTTCTCTCCTTTCTTTTTGTCTGACTTTTTCTGTCTTTCATCGTTCCTTTGTTAGTTTGTTACTTCTGACCTCCTCTGTTTGTTTCATCCTTTCAGTTCTTCTCCACATTTCCTGTTTTACTCCTTTTCTCCTGTCCTTCCTTTCATCCATCCTTTCTTTCTTCCTTCCTGTCTATTTCCTCCCCTTTTTAGTCCTGTCGTCTCTCCTCAGCACATTTTCCTCCCCTTCTTTCTTGTCCTTCATCTTCCCCTCTTTCTTTATTGTCTCTTTGTCCTTCCTCTCCTTCCTTCCTAGCTATCTTTTTTGTTTGCTTTCTTACTTTTCTTCTTCCTTCATTTGTTTCCTCTTTTCCTGTTCTTACATTTCTCTTCTGTCTTTTTCTTTTCTTTTTCCCTCTTTCCTTGTTTCCTTCTTTTATCTTTCATTTCCTTTGTCCCTTCCTCATTCTTCCTTCTTTCCTTTGTTTTTCTTCCTTTCTTTAAAAGTTCCTCTGTTTTATTCCTTGTCCCCTTCTTTCTCCTTCCTTTACTTTCTTTCCATCCTTTTTATTTCCTTCCTCTTCTTTCCTCTCCTTTCTTTTTGCCCAACTTTTTTCTGTCTTACTTCTTTCCTCCTTTCACTTCTCCATATTCCTTGTTTTTCTCCTTTCTTCTTTCCTTCCTTTCATCATCCTTTCTCTTTTCCTTCAGTCCTTATTTCCTTCTCCATTCTTCCCTCTCGTCTTCAGTCCCTCCTTCTCTTCTCTCCTCCCTCTGTAATGACTCTTCTTGTCGTCTCTCTCTCTCTCTGTGTTTCCTCCCTCGGGGGGTTTCTGTCTGTTTTACATGATGATAAACACAAACTGAATTTATTTATATTTATTATTTGCCTCAGTAAAGTGAAAACATGTCACATGAAGCCTGCAGGCGTGTCTTTGTGTCTGATCTGTGATCTGTTGTTAATCTGAATATTTTCCTCTTTATGTAAAACATCTATTATCTGTGGAGTCGCTGTCGGAGGGGAATGTGTTGATGCTTCAGGGGAAACACAAGAAGAAGAAGAAAAGAAAGATGTTTCTGTGAATCAAACTTGGAATATTTTCATTACTTGGCTTCACAGACAGAAAACTTTGATAACATTAAATGTTATTTATTAATGCTCGTTTTAACACATCGACTGGTCAGTGTTTGTTTTGACAACTGTTATAGATTTAGAGTCTTAAGGTGAAAATGTTTATTAGTTTTAGTCGCATTTTAGTCATTTTTGTCCCTCAAAGATTTAGTTGACGAAAATTCAAAATTCTTTTGTTAAAGAAAATTCATGACATTTTAGCCAACAAAAATTTGTGTCATTTTAGTTAACGAGAATTTAAAATGTTTTAGTCAATGGAAATTCAAAACATTTTGTCACCAAAAAATGTAAAATGTTTTAGTTGATGAAAATTAAAAAGAAATTTGTCCATGAAAATTCATGACATTTTAGCCAACAAAAAATTGTGTCATTTTAGTTAATAAAATGTAAAATGTTTTAGTTAACATAAATTCAAAACATTTTTTTGGATGAAAATTCAAAATGTTTTAGTCAAGGAAAATTCATGACATTTTAACCACCAAAAATTTGTGTCATATTCATCAACGTGAATTCAAAACATTTTAGTCGACAAAAACTCAAAACCTTTATTCACCAAAACATTTATAATGTTTAAGTTGAAGAAAAACTCAAAATGTCTTGTTGATGAAAATTCATGACATGTTAGCCAACAAAAAATTGTGTCATTTTAGTTAATAAAATGTAAAATGTTTTAGTTAACGTAAATTCAAAACATTTTTGTTGAAGAAAATTCCGTTTAGACATTTTAGCCAGCAAATATTTGTGTCATTTTCGTCAATGTGAATTCAAAACATTTTAGTCGACAAAAACTCAAAACCTTTTGTCATCTAAAAATTTATAATGTTTAAGTTGACGAAAACTCAAAACGTTTTTGTTGATGAAAATTCATGGCATTTTAGCCAGCAAATATTTGTGTCATATTCGTCAACGTGAATTCAAAACATTTTAGTCGACAAAAACTCAAAACCTTTATTCACCAAAACATTTATAATGTTTAAGTTGAAGAAAAACTCAAAATGTCTTGTTGATGAAAATTCATGACATGTTAGCCAACAAAAAATTGTGTCATTTTAGTTAATAAAATGTAAAATGTTTTAGTTAACGTAAATTCAAAACATTTTTGTTGAAGAAAATTCCGTTTAGACATTTTAGCCAGCAAATATTTGTGTCATTTTCGTCAATGTGAATTCAAAACATTTTAGTCGACAAAAACTCAAAACCTTTTGTCATCTAAAAATTTATAATGTTTAAGTTGACGAAAACTCAAAACGTTTTTGTTGATGAAAATTCATGGCATTTTAGCCAGCAAATATTTGTGTCATATTCGTCAACGTGAATTCAAAACATTTTAGTCGACAAAAACTCAAAACCTTTATTCACCAAAACATTTATAATGTTTAAGTTGAAGAAAAACTCAAAATGTCTTGTTGATGAAAATTCATGACATGTTAGCCAACAAAAAATTGTGTCATTTTAGTTAATAAAATGTAAAATGTTTTAGTTAACGTAAATTCAAAACATTTTTGTTGAAGAAAATTCCGTTTAGACATTTTAGCCAGCAAATATTTGTGTCATTTTCGTCAATGTGAATTCAAAACATTTTAGTCGACAAAAACTCAAAACCTTTTGTCATCTAAAAATTTATAATGTTTAAGTTGACGAAAACTCAAAACGTTTTTGTTGATGAAAATTCATGGCATTTTAGCCAGCAAATATTTGTGTCATATTCGTCAACGTGAATTCAAAACATTTTAGTCGACAAAAACTCAAAACCTTTATTCACCAAAACATTTATAATGTTTAAGTTGAAGAAAAACTCAAAATGTCTTGTTGATGAAAATTCATGACATGTTAGCCAACAAAAAATTGTGTCATTTTAGTTAATAAAATGTAAAATGTTTTAGTTAACGTAAATTCAAAACATTTTTGTTGAAGAAAATTCCGTTTAGACATTTTAGCCAGCAAATATTTGTGTCATTTTCGTCAATGTGAATTCAAAACATTTTAGTCGACAAAAACTCAAAACCTTTTGTCATCTAAAAATTTATAATGTTTAAGTTGACGAAAACTCAAAACGTTTTTGTTGATGAAAATTCATGGCATTTTAGCCAGCAAATATTTGTGTCATATTCGTCAACGTGAATTCAAAACATTTTAGTCGACAAAAACTCAAAACCTTTATTCACCAAAACATTTATAATGTTTAAGTTGAAGAAAAACTCAAAATGTCTTGTTGATGAAAATTCATGACATGTTAGCCAACAAAAAATTGTGTCATTTTAGTTAATAAAATGTAAAATGTTTTAGTTAACGTAAATTCAAAACATTTTTGTTGAAGAAAATTCCGTTTAGACATTTTAGCCAGCAAATATTTGTGTCATTTTCGTCAATGTGAATTCAAAACATTTTAGTCGACAAAAACTCAAAACCTTTTGTCATCTAAAAATTTATAATGTTTAAGTTGACGAAAACTCAAAACGTTTTTGTTGATGAAAATTCATGGCATTTTAGCCAGCAAATATTTGTGTCATATTCGTCAACGTGAATTCAAAACATTTTAGTCGACAAAAACTCAAAACCTTTATTCACCAAAACATTTATAATGTTTAAGTTGAAGAAAAACTCAAAATGTCTTGTTGATGAAAATTCATGACATGTTAGCCAACAAAAAATTGTGTCATTTTAGTTAATAAAATGTAAAATGTTTTAGTTAACGTAAATTCAAAACATTTTTGTTGAAGAAAATTCCGTTTAGACATTTTAGCCAGCAAATATTTGTGTCATTTTCGTCAATGTGAATTCAAAACATTTTAGTCGACAAAAACTCAAAACCTTTTGTCATCTAAAAATTTATAATGTTTAAGTTGACGAAAACTCAAAACGTTTTTGTTGATGAAAATTCATGGCATTTTAGCCAGCAAATATTTGTGTCATATTCGTCAACGTGAATTCAAAACATTTTAGTCGACAAAAACTCAAAACCTTTATTCACCAAAACATTTATAATGTTTAAGTTGAAGAAAAACTCAAAATGTCTTGTTGATGAAAATTCATGACATGTTAGCCAACAAAAAATTGTGTCATTTTAGTTAATAAAATGTAAAATGTTTTAGTTAACGTAAATTCAAAACATTTTTGTTGAAGAAAATTCCGTTTAGACATTTTAGCCAGCAAATATTTGTGTCATTTTCGTCAATGTGAATTCAAAACATTTTAGTCGACAAAAACTCAAAACCTTTTGTCATCTAAAAATTTATAATGTTTAAGTTGACGAAAACTCAAAACGTTTTTGTTGATGAAAATTCATGGCATTTTAGCCAGCAAATATTTGTGTCATATTCGTCAACGTGAATTCAAAACATTTTAGTCGACAAAAACTCAAAACCTTTATTCACCAAAACATTTATAATGTTTAAGTTGAAGAAAAACTCAAAATGTCTTGTTGATGAAAATTCATGACATGTTAGCCAACAAAAAATTGTGTCATTTTAGTTAATAAAATGTAAAATGTTTTAGTTAACGTAAATTCAAAACATTTTTGTTGAAGAAAATTCCGTTTAGACATTTTAGCCAGCAAATATTTGTGTCATTTTCGTCAATGTGAATTCAAAACATTTTAGTCGACAAAAACTCAAAACCTTTTGTCATCTAAAAATTTATAATGTTTAAGTTGACGAAAACTCAAAACGTTTTTGTTGATGAAAATTCATGGCATTTTAGCCAGCAAATATTTGTGTCATATTCGTCAACGTGAATTCAAAACATTTTAGTCGACAAAAACTCAAAACCTTTATTCACCAAAACATTTATAATGTTTAAGTTGAAGAAAAACTCAAAATGTCTTGTTGATGAAAATTCATGACATGTTAGCCAACAAAAAATTGTGTCATTTTAGTTAATAAAATGTAAAATGTTTTAGTTAACGTAAATTCAAAACATTTTTGTTGAAGAAAATTCCGTTTAGACATTTTAGCCAGCAAATATTTGTGTCATTTTCGTCAATGTGAATTCAAAACATTTTAGTCGACAAAAACTCAAAACCTTTTGTCATCTAAAAATTTATAATGTTTAAGTTGACGAAAACTCAAAACGTTTTTGTTGATGAAAATTCATGGCATTTTAGCCAGCAAATATTTGTGTCATATTCGTCAACGTGAATTCAAAACATTTTAGTCGACAAAAACTCAAAACCTTTATTCACCAAAACATTTATAATGTTTAAGTTGAAGAAAAACTCAAAATGTCTTGTTGATGAAAATTCATGACATGTTAGCCAACAAAAAATTGTGTCATTTTAGTTAATAAAATGTAAAATGTTTTAGTTAACGTAAATTCAAAACATTTTTGTTGAAGAAAATTCCGTTTAGACATTTTAGCCAGCAAATATTTGTGTCATTTTCGTCAATGTGAATTCAAAACATTTTAGTCGACAAAAACTCAAAACCTTTTGTCATCTAAAAATTTATAATGTTTAAGTTGACGAAAACTCAAAACGTTTTTGTTGATGAAAATTCATGGCATTTTAGCCAGCAAATATTTGTGTCATATTCGTCAACGTGAATTCAAAACATTTTAGTCGACAAAAACTCAAAACCTTTATTCACCAAAACATTTATAATGTTTAAGTTGAAGAAAAACTCAAAATGTCTTGTTGATGAAAATTCATGACATGTTAGCCAACAAAAAATTGTGTCATTTTAGTTAATAAAATGTAAAATGTTTTAGTTAACGTAAATTCAAAACATTTTTGTTGAAGAAAATTCCGTTTAGACATTTTAGCCAGCAAATATTTGTGTCATTTTCGTCAATGTGAATTCAAAACATTTTAGTCGACAAAAACTCAAAACCTTTTGTCATCTAAAAATTTATAATGTTTAAGTTGACGAAAACTCAAAACGTTTTTGTTGATGAAAATTCATGGCATTTTAGCCAGCAAATATTTGTGACATTTTAGTTGACAAAAATTTTAAACATTTTAGTGGACATGTTTTCTATATGTTTTTCTCTTCAAATAGTCTCTATTTACAGACTCTACATTCAGTGAATGTAGAGTCTGTGGGCAAACCCCGGAGATCTTGCCTCCGGAAGAAAAGCGGAAGAGCCCTGGTTTCCAGTTGTAGGCTGTTTGTAGTCCGCGTGATATTGACCAATCACATTTGAGCCAGCTGCAGTTGTTAACAGGTTAAACGGTCCATGAGGTGAACTAACAAAGCGAAACATAATTGGAATCACTGCAAACTCTGAATCCATCGCAATGGTTCAGCATATTTACTTAAATATGAACGGAAGTCGGAAACAGAAATTCGCCTCCTCCGCCCAAATCAAACTAGAATGCCAAAAAATCGGGGGTCTGTCCCCAGAGGCTGTATCGCCGTCTGCCGGAAGTCAGACGCTGGAAGTCAGACGCTGGAAGTCAGACGCTGGAAGTCAGACGCCGAATACAGCCGATGGGTTCTGAGGATGCTCTTCAGACTAATCCAGTGAGACTAATTCATGTGTCAGAAATTAGAATCAAGGTGACAGGTTGTTTAAACATTTCATTTAGACTACTTTTTTTTCTGCACACTTCCAAGCGGTCACTTCTCCAGCAGTGTCTGACACGTTTGAGGGCTGATTTAATGATAATAATAATAATAATAATAATAATAATAATAACTGCACTGATGAAACAGAAATGGTTCAGGATCTAAATCTTTCTCATTGTTTTGTGCAGGCTGTGTTTGTTGGTCTCAGTCTGAATATTCAGTGTTTGTTGTTGACTTAATGTCGGTGTCCTCGCTTCATAATGAGCCTCTTATCAAAGGGAAGTGTGTGTGTGTGTGTGTGTGTGTGTGTGTGTGTGCACAGATCACAGCAGAGGAGCTCACCGGGAACGACGACTACATTGAGCTCTCGTTCAGCGCCAGGAAATTGGACGACAAGGTAACTGCTGTGTGTGTGTGTGTGTGTGTGTGTGTGTGTGTGTGTGTGTGTGTGTGTTATCTGTAACTTCTTCATCTTGTTTCAGGAAAATAAAACTGTCGGACAGGTTTTCATTGATACAGAAGCAGTGTGAGTTAAATATCGAAGGCTCTTTGTGAGTTGAGGCTGAACCTTTTTAAATTAAACTTCACATCGTCATCGAAGTTTTGGGAGAAGCTGACTCAGAACTTTTCATACTTCTCATTTTAGCTGACTGTCAGCTGTGACTTTCCCTTTCCTTAACTTAAGATCACTGAGCTGAGTGAAATCTCACACAGCAGTAAAAAGCAGCGTTAAAAACTACGGTACTGTTCAATAACCAGTCAACTGAATCAATCAGCCATCAATCATGTGAAAGAGTACAGTAGTTGGAGCTGACACACAGTTTGTATTAATGTCTTCCACTAATTATGAAACAATGACCTGTGTGAGTGTGCAGAGTTAGAATACTTCTGACCAGGTGTCTTATAATAACATGTCAGTCTGAATGAAAGTGAACTCCATCAAACACTGTTATAACATGTAGTGTTGTTGCATGATGAAACAGTGAGTGATTATTGAGACAGAATATTTAAACGAACCTTTTGCTGTTGGAAATATGTTCAAACATATCAGAAAATAAAAGCAGCAGTTTTCCAGACATAACTCTCAGCACAGCTCTCCTCTGTTTGTCTTCAGTCAATAGTTTCTCCCTTTAAAAATCTGTGTGTGTGTGTGTGTGTGTGTGTGTGTGTGTGTTTGCAGGACTTCTTCAGTAAATCTGACCCGTTTCTGGAGATCTACAGGCTGAATGATGACGCCACGCTGCAGCTCGTCTACAGAACTGAGGTACAAACACACAACCACACACTGACCCGTATTTTGAACACACACTCTGCTGTCTGACCAATGTTATAAGTTTATTTTGAAAAAGACTGAATGCAACTGACAAGCAGAAACTGGCCACTTCCTGTTAAAACAGAAGTGTATTTTGAAAAGACCAACCCAATCTCACTCTGCAGTCATCAAAATGCGGTGCTTGGTCAGTGACTTGCAGCATCAGACACTGACGAAAAAAGTCGTCCTTTCACGTTGGCATGTGACACAGCTGGTCGCAGTTATTGTTTAATGGTGTCTGACGGCATCAGGGGGAAACGTGGCGGGACAACAATGAAAGTTAAGGGGGCAGAAGTCTGAGTAGGGCAATGTTCACTTCCTGTAAAGGTGCGGACACACCAAACCGACATCAAAGAACTAGCGGTGACAAAAGCCAACAGTTGCGTCGTCTACGTCGCCTCACGTCGCCCTGTGTCAGTTGCATTTGAACACACTACACGGACTACATCCGACGGCCAAGTAGCACGTACGTTCTGCGCCTACGTGAGAGAGAGCGGAGTGAGAGAGTGGTACATCCTGTCAGCCGAGGGGTTTCCTATCTGTGCAGCCGAGCACCGCAGCACCTCCACGGACTATTACATCCAGATGGTCCCGGTGTTTCCTCCGCAGGCTCCACTTCACTCAGCTGCCCGATAAACCCGCTGCTTCTTCCCACTTTAACCTGAATAACAAACCAGGGCTCGGTGCTCCGGTTGGATCCAAACGGAGAGCCGGGGCTAGCTCAGAGACTAGCGGAGGCTAACTGGCTGTGCTTCCCTCCGGTCATGCTGCGGCTAACGCTCCGCTAGCCGCTCCCAGCTAGCTCCGGTTTGTTATTCAGGTTAAAGTGTGAAGAAGCAGCGGGTCTGTGGGGCAGCTGAGTGAAGTGGAGCCTGAGGAGGAAGCACCGGTTAGCAGGGGCGAGGAAATAAAACCTGAACAGCCAATCAGAGTGATGTCTCTCACCGACAAGCTCTGCTGCCAATTCAACATGCTCAAAGCCGCCAACGCCGAAGTGCCGACGGTGCGGGACACACCGCAAAAACTAGGCCGACAGACGCTCACCAACGGCCCAACTCGGCCATCGGCTTGGTGTGTCAGGGCCTTAAGACTGTAAAGTCAAAGCCTGTTCTTTTTTCTTAAACCCAACCACATGTTGCTGAAGGAAAAAAACAAGATTATTTGCAGTGTTGTACTGAAATAGTGCTTTTATTTTGAAACAGACTGCAAATTTCCTGTGAAAACAGAAGGGACGAGGTGGGAGTGAGAACGTGTTGGTTAAATACATCCATATGTCCGACTTGCTAAACTCTACACTGCTGCTGATATTCATTTGTGTCCTGCGTTACAACAAGAGTTTATGCTGTAATATATATTTTTTTGCAGACCGGACAGGACTTAATTTCGATATCAGGTAGAGCCATCCTAACTTCCTGTGTTGTTGTCTTGCACAGCAGAATAATGACAAAACAGTTCCTTATCTTAATATCAAATATTGTGCCTTGAAAAGTGAAGTCTGAGGTTTGTGTGTGTGATTATTTGTTTTTTGGCAGCTCTGTCTCACTGCGTCGTTTATATCTGTCATTTCATTTCAGAGCTGTCAGACACAAACTGATGTAAACACGAGTTCTGAGATTAATTTCTGATATAAAATCGACTTCATGTAACGTTCAGAGTGTGATTTCATCGCTCATCAAAAACGTTACCTTCAGTTTTATTTAACCACAGCGGAGCTTTGGAGACAACAGAGACGTTTGAGGATGAGAGTAATAATCTGTGAAAGATGCTCCTGCGTCTCTGTGAACGCTGTAAAATCATTTCATTGATCGTAAAGAAAGAAAATCAGCAGTTTGGTTTTTTCTGTCTCACAGACTGTGATGAATAATCTGAACCCGGTGTGGAAAACCTTCAAAGTTTCTCTCAACTCGCTCTGCAGCGGGGACCACGAACGCAAGCTGCAGGTACACACACACACACACACACACACACACACACACACACTGTGTCTCTTGTATCAGTCGATGGATGTTGTGGCTCCAGTCTAAATGTGGACGCCTGATTGGCTGCAGGTCAAACTGACGGCTGTTGGATATTTACAGGTAGCATGTGATGGTGATGGAAACCTTGTATCTCCACTTTCCTTTTATTTTGACATTTATTGATTTTATGAAAGCTGGTAAATGGCAGCATACAGACCGTCATCATTTAACGGCACCAGGAGCAGACACGATTTCACACCGACAGAAGAAAGTGGAGAGTTCATCCCCAAATCAACAACACATATTTCTCCTCTCACCTGTAGAGCTATTCATCAGTCTGGATTGTTTTGCAGAGTGTTGGAGATATCGACTGTCAGGATGTCTGCCTTCTCTCTAATATACTGGAGCTTGATGGAACATGGCTCGCAGAGCTCAGAGTGCCGAAATGTCTCTCTCCAGGGAACATGACCCGGGTTGTTGTGTTTCATGTAGGAACTATTTTCTGTCTACCAAACTACACCGGCCAACCATATCACCATGCAGAAGGAAGAGTGCATCTACTCATGGACGTGTGACAGCACGAGATGTAAACGTTAATGGCGTCCTCCTCGGCTAAACGTTAGCTAGCTCAGTGGTGCTTGTTGTTATTGTTGATGTTTGACATGTTGTTGGGAAACTGTGTCAAACATCTGGACAACAACTAAAACCAACCTGGTCTCATTCTGAAGTCTGTGAAATCTGGCATTTGGTCAGTGACTTCTGGTGTCAGACGCAAACAATAACAGCCGTCCTTTCAGGTCGGAATGACGCATGACCAGTCACCATTGTTGTTTGATTGTGCCCAGCGGCATCATGGGGAAACGTGGCAGGACAACAACGAAAGTTAAAGTGGGTTGTTAAGCCAAATCCTGTTCTTTCTTCCTAAACCCAACCAAATGTGTGTGTTGTTGAAGGAAAAAAAAAGTAAATTCACCGTGTTGTAACGACGTAGTTCTTTTATTTTGAAAGAGACTGTATGCAAACTGTACATTTCCTGTGAAAACAGAAGTGTATTTTGAAAACAGACAATGCATGTAACAGGCTGAAGTTGACACGGCGTCCCAGAACGTCAGCAATCAACACACCCAGGGTACCTTGGACGTCATATGTGGACGTGGAAAGTCCATGACCAAACGTGGACATGTGACGAGGTCACAGTGAGGATGTGATGCAAAAACACGACTGTTTCTCCTGGTCCAGAGGAACAAATCCATCATCTGTCCTGTTGGCTTGTTATTATCAACGCCGCTGCCCCTCAATCAGCTCAGGGGCCAGAGGTTGGGCCCCCTGTCAGCAGCACAGAGATGAGGTCTGAGGGTCAACGACCTCCAGTAGAAAAGATCAGAACAGGAAGTTGTTCAGAGGTGACAAGACAAACTAATGACTTTTAGAGAACCTCTCTGAATACAAACAGGACTTTAAATCTTTACACAGAGATGATCAGACTGAACCTGAAGCAGAGCTCAGTGTGTTTCATTTATATAATATACTAACAATTTAAAGTCCAGAGCTCGCTGTGTCTGTAATTAATTCATTCAAATAAGAAGTTCAAAGAGAGCTCTGTTCCATTTTGTTTTGTTCTAAGTAGGTCACATTTTGTTTTGCTGTGGAGGAAACCTGCTGATTAACACACACTGATACTCAAGAGAAAGAAAATATATATCAGTGTATGTCACAGTATATCTGTTGTACTTCTTACTGTTAGTAAACAGTATGACATCTTTTGGTGGGCGGGGCTTAGCTGGAGGCAAAACAATCCTCCACAGACATTAGCTAGCGCTAGCTAACAAGTTGTGTTGTCTTGCTTTAGATGATGGAGGAAGATGATGTGAGGGTGCGTTCAGAAACACTCATTGTGAGTGTGGGAGCGCACTCTGACACAAACTGGAGCGTTGATAAATTGGGAGCGCTGTCTTAGTCTCGCTCACCAGACCTTTCTCAAGAAAAGAAAGGTCTGGCTGGGCCGACTCTCACTTTGAGATTGGAGAAAAAAACGCAGCAACGGTGCGCTTGCAAAAATATTGCCGGGGGGAAACAGGTTTTGGTGTAACACGCCGACAAAAATATCACCTACAGGACGCGAACCATGGCAGAAAAATGGCTACATCCCCGCAAGATCAAACACCGCAAAAGTTAGTAAAGGACGTGTTGAAAACAGTTGAAAACTGCTACACAACCGGAGGTGGTAGGGCGGGACTTCAGCGGGTGGCTCGTTCCGCCCAATGAGAGGCTGATCTCTGCAGCGAACTTCCGCCCACTCAGACTAGCACTGTCTGAATGTAGCGTTGGGTTATCCAGAGCAGCGCACTCTCAGAGTGGCAGAGCGCACTCTGGACACTCTGTCTGTGGAGACGGAGCAGCAGAGCGATGATGATGTCACAGGAAGCCAATCTTACAAAGGAGGACCACACTTGTTTGTTTTGCTATGGAAGCTAACGTTAGCTAATGTGCTAAAAAGTTAGCGTTGCAGAGAAATCCAATCTTCCTCTTAATCCCTCCCCAGTTTCTGATGAGGTGGACATGATAACCCTTAATACACATAACCTTATTCATCCCTACAACAGGAAATACTTTTTCCCTAACCTGATATGAAGTGTGCGCTGCACATGTGAGCATTTTTGATGATGGCCTCCGTCCAGTCCTTTGGTCTTATCACATTTAACCATAGTTGTCTTTGTTTTTGTTGACGGGCAGTGGCGGCTGGTTTTGAGCCATGACTCCTTCTATTCTGGCTCCCAATAACACAACAAGACAAACACATTTTAACACTCCTGTGTAGCCTACAGCCCTGTGGGGGAGAGGCAGCTGCACCTCCAGCTGATAACATGACATCAGCCCTAAAATGGTCTGTAGCTCCACCCGAGGATCTAAGGCTGTGAACCGGCTCAAACAGGGTCAACATTTCTGCTATGTAGCTCAGGTTCAGTCCCAGACGAGCTTTAAAAGTGATCAGTGAAGTATTAAACACACAGGGAGCCGGGGGAGAGACGGGAGGATTGGGGTGATGTGATGTCGTCTATTGAAACCAGTAAGAAGCCGAGCTGGAGGCGAGCGTGACTTTTGGTTTCACAATAACATTTGTGTTTGAGAAACATAAAAGTCTGTTTATGCTCGAGCAGTTTGAGTCTTTAACTCTGCACTAATAGTTTCTCTAAATGTTGATCCGTGTTTCATAAATCTCTTCTCTGCAGCTTTGCTGTAAAGTTTCTGTCAGTTTCTCTGAGAGTCGTTGAGCTCTGACAAACATGCATTTCTCCCCCCATAAAAAAAACATTTGAAAAGATGATTTTTAAATCCTGCATTGTTTACATGCATCTTTACTTCCTTTCAGCCTCCTCTCTCTTGGCTGCCTCTGACAGCACGTTACTGCCTGCAGCTGTTGATCGGTGCAGCAGGATGCGAATCGTGACGTCTCTGTGCTTTTAAAATTTCTCTCCATAGAGACATAAACAAACTAATCTGCAGCGTTTCTCCAAACTGTTTGTCTGTGAGAGAAAATATAACAAAATAAAGATTCTGTAGAAGACAAAGGAAATCTGAGCATTGTTTCAGGGTCTGACAGAAACCAGACAAACATTTTATATTCCAGGTCGAAGTTTTAAGACAAAGTAAAAGCAGAGGAATGATCAGTGAGTGCAGGAAACTTTGTCGCTGCAGTTGAGCAACATCGCAGAGCTGCAGTTAATTATGTCTCCTGAAATGAGACGAATAAATGTTCTTATTAAGAAGAATAAAACAGAATAATTTCTCCCTCTCTGTGAGCTGTATGAGCAAATTAATCTGCTGTCTGTGAACGTTAAGTCTGAGGTCTGTTATTAATGCTTCAGTGTGTGCTAATGTTACACCTGGAGGGGATCATGCATTTGTAGTAGTTTAAAATACATATCATACATATATTTATACTCACTTATACTGATATTATAGTACAGTTATATATAGTTATATAGTAACTAATAGCATAACACAGCCACGGGAAACAGGCAAACAGAAACCAGGAATGTAGAAGCAGGGCTCCTCGTGGAGGACAGAAGGCTGAGTGGTTCACCAGGGAGCAGACAAAGCAGGAGAGTCAGAGGCAGGCGAGGTCGGCAACAAGGAAGCAGTCCAGGGATTAACGCTGGAAAGTCTTGCGTGAAAATGACCAAGAACATGCTGGGGTCTTTATAGTGCCAGGGAGCAATGAGCCACAGGTGAGCGGAGCTGGCTTTGTGACGTGGGTGTGGGGGACCGGCAGGAGCAGGAGATGTGTGGACAGGTGATAGGCTGGCAGGTAGGTCTAGTGGAGAGGCGGGTGAGTGCGGAGCTACTGGGTGAACTGAGAGAAAGGCATGTATGGCAGGTCGGAAGTGCACACTGTGACATATTTGGACAGCTCACTCTTGGAGCCTGCCTCAAGTGGACATTAGAGGAACTGCGTTTTTTGGCACTTCAACATTGGCTTCACTTTTCAGCCCTGCAGGTTACTGCTCGAGTAACACACCTGATTATTTACAGGCTCCTTCACTTGTAGTCGTCAGTCCCTGGAGCTCAGGTTTGTCCTGAATAAAAGCCTCAGAGAGAGACATTAAGTCAGTTTAGTGACTGTTATTGTTCCTCTGATAATGAAACTGAATTTCCTCTTCATAAACAGAACATTTATCAAGTTGATTGAAGACACGTTGATTTAAGAGTTGTTGTTTCTGTGTCCTGAGCTGCAAACATCCACACTGTCCTCATTCTTAATTCACTTTACAGAGTTTGACTCAGTTGTTTCCAGCCGGGGAAACAGCCACGCAACACAAGACCTTATCATCTGCTCTGGAAGCAGGGGACCATGTGAACGTCTTGATTCAGTTTCTTCCTCACGCACTGGACGTAAGACAAAAGATGGAGTGCCATCTTACTGAGAGAGATTACTGTATGACTCTATTTCATAACCAGCTCTACTGGAATCATGTTTTATT